TGTCTTGTTTCTTTATGTTGTTGTGGGTTCTTAAGAATGACACCATTACTTGAAGAGAAGGTATTTTATCGAACTGTTGTTCACATGTAAACAAAGCTTCGCCATCACAGTCTACTCCGAGGTAACTTCCTCTGGCTCTCTAGCTCCCCCTACAGTCTAGGAGTATTAACAACATAAAACATGATACTAGGCAAATAAGGATTTGCTGTTATCATTAGAAACCACTACCGGCACACTTTTGCACCAGTGGTTTTCGGAAAGCTTTTATTTTGGTATTTCCGCTGTGCAATAAATTTGCATGTTAGCCTAAACATTTAGATTTAACATTTAGCATTTAGATTTAACATTTAGATTTACATTTAAATATAATATTTAGATTTAACATTTAACATTTAGATTTAGATTTAAATATAATATTTAGATTTAACATTTAGATTTAACATTTAGATTTAGATTTAAATATAATATTTAAATTTAACATTTAGATTTAACATTTAGATTTAGATTTAAATATAATATTTAGATTTAACATTTAGATTTAAATATAATATTTAGATTTAACATTTAACTTTTAGATTGAATATTTAACATTTAGATTTAACATTTAAAATTCTGTTTTAAATATGAAAAGTTACAAATATTTTACTAAATGTTGTAAAAAAGGTCTTGTTTTGAGCTAAATGTGGAAAAATGTTGCCGTTAATTTCAGCATGTTTCACTTTACAAACGGCGCCCCATACAGCTCTGCTATCACTTCTGACATACATGAAGACAGGAAAGTAAGCAGCAGTGATGTTTGTAGGGTTACTGAAGTTTGGCTAGCTGGTATATAGTGATGTGCTATGTGACTAGCGAAACAGCTATGTTAGCATAACATTAACACAGTGATAAAGGGGAACGTTTTTTCCACTGGATAAGAGTTAAGGTGAGGGTTCCCGATGGTTAGGGACAAATGCAGTGGCATGGCAGGATGCTGTAAACGGACCAAACTTCAGTCAAGAGAACAACTGAGATAATCCATCTACATACAGGTTAGTCATTAATGTGCTGCTGCATTGCCTGGGCTGTAGTTACATGGTAACTTACCTTACTAAGGTTTTAAAAACTGAGCTTTAAAATGAATTGTTGTAATAAAAACTGAGAGAGGCCGACAGTGATCACTTACTTTTTGTAAGGGGCTTGTTGAGATAAAATAGAACAAGTTACAAAGCATTAAAACATGTTAAAAACACAACAGCCTTATTAAACGCAGAGTAGTTTGGGCCCAGAAGTAGGATTCATCACGTCATCACTTAAAGACCGGATGGACACACAGTGGAGTTACTCATGTTTACTGTTGTTTCCACTTGTAGCAGGATGAATATTATATGTACTGGTTGATCCCACTTTTAGTCTTTCGCATTTTGAGGAGAAATAACTTTGCTTGTTATCATATTATCAGTATCTTTGGAAACATTTAATACATCGTGATGGTTTAAATGCTGAGTCGTTTTCTGCTACATAGTCATAATAATATTTATACAGCGGCACTATAGGTTACAAGCCCTCGCAGTAAAAATGTGTAAATTAAATGTCACTAATGGCTCTTTCCAAAAAACATCAGTGTTTGTGTCACACTGATTTGATCAGCTGACTTATTTTATTGTAACCAAACCTATGCTCATATTGTTGTCTTGTTTTTCCTTTAGCGAGGTGGTTTCCTTCCACTTGTAGCAGGACCAGTAAGTCTGCCAGCTACAGGCAAAGCTCCAGTGACCAGGAAGACCACAGCATTCGCCAATTCCTGCTGAATTATTGCAAACAGAAAGAACTGGCAGAGGGCATTGGAATAGAGGATGATTATAACACTGAAGACCGAGGTAATAGGTCTGTCTAAGGGCCAGTGGAATATAAGCTATAGGTTGTAGTGGTGATTATTTTAAATTCAGTGTGTAGAGGAGATGGATCATTGTAATTAAGAGTCATAGAAATCTGAACCTCACTGCTAAACTGGCGGTCTAACTGTATATGTGCTCCATTGCAGAAGTCCCTCCCACTGAGTGTGAGGATGTTGAAGATACTGGTAGTCCTGATGTGAAAGCAGAGCTTCCCTCCCACCTCAGCATCGCTAAGGATGTTATGGAGCGCTGCATTCATCTGCTGTCTGATCCCAGCCTCAGGCTCCGACTCAAGGTACTGTATCAGTAGTTTTATGTAGAGTCAACTGTTGGACTAATAACAAAAATAATCATTCTTGTGAAGGTAGGACCGCCAGCGTTGGTACAATTCATCCTGTCAGAACTGTGTGGAGGACTGTTCACTGGTGTAATGCTCATCAAGGAAAAACATTCAGTCTGGTCCAGGAGTGAAACAGAAATAAGTCTGTGCTGAAGTCGTGCCTGCTCAGGAGTTTGGGCTCTCAATGAAGACCTCAGTAATTAGTTTCAGCTCACATATAATCAGGATCAAAACAGAGATAATTGTTAGGTGTGTTGTGCGTCTTTGTCTTTAGGTACTGGACGTGCTGGAGTTGTGCGTTCAGGTGCTGAGTGAGAGGGAAAATGAACTGCTGCCTATGGCTCATCGCTGCTGGCCAGCACTCCTGCAGAGACTCACAACTGATGACCCATTAGCAGTCCTCAGAGCCTTCAGGGTAAGTAAAACAAACCTCTCTTTTCATTACGTGAGTCAAAATTATTCAAGTCGTCTTTAGTTTTTTAAACTCTTAATAGTGAAAGAATGAAAGATGCTGCCCAACAACAGGCTTATTTCATTCAGAAATAGTTCTATTATTTACTGGACAGGCACAATTAGTGTTGGTAAGCTTTAATGTTCTAACCTCTCGAAACACACTCTACTTTTTTTACTTTTTATACACTGTTTGATCTGTTTGATCAGCGGACATCAGAGCAACTGGCACGTCACTTTTTAACACTGGTAGATTATTTCAGCAAAAGAAGTTAAAACATTGCTTTGATTCTATATTGACTTGTAACACAACAACATGATCTACAGATATTTTCTCAGATTGCCTTTAAAATTCCACATGTGAAGCTGTTAAAGCCACAGCACATGATCCTCATTTACGATTAAAAACTGGACACGTGGAATATTTAAGAAGAACGGGCTCTTTAATGCAAGACTTTTAGCCCAAACTTTAGTAAACCAGTTTGTGGGCCTGATTTAAAAATCACCCTCACTCATTTTGTCCCCTGAGAAAGGAACTTCCAGAAATACGCAGATGGAGTTCAGCAGTTGTGGCTAAAACCAACAGGAGCAGTTAAGCTAACTTCAGGTTGGCACACAACAGACCTAACTTACAATAGCTAGCAATCCCAACTTGGCAAAAGTGTTCCTAGCCAGGTAAAGAGCATAAACAGTGAGGAATGACTGTGATGACGAGTTTATATGTGGCATATCATCACAGGTCAGTTGCCTTACAGGCGTGAATAGAAGTATCTTCAGGACATGTAGGGCCGTGATCTCCCAATACTGTGTGTATGAATCTGAAAGGGAACTCAATTCACCTTTACACTGGCAGCTAATGCAAAATGTGTGCACTGTGAGACCTGCAGTAATGTAAAGGACAGATGGAAGTTGTGAATAAAAAAAGTAAATAAATAAAAACAAATAGCTCAGAATGCAGTATGCAAGCAGCCTTTAATAACTCACATCATTCTGAATTATTGATCTAAGTGTTTGGGTAGCAACATAGCAGCCACAAGTAAAACACATGGTTTAATATACTTCAGTATTTTCCTGCTTGGAGGTGATTTAAAAAAACAAACCTGCAGAGAAAGGCAGTGTTGAGTTAATGAGCTTATAGTTAAACTGTTGGTTTGCATGTTAAAGCCAGCAAAACTGGTTCAGTCTGTCACTTTGGATTATAGGAAGGTGTTTTCTATACAATAGATATTACGTACAAAGCAACACACAGCTCAGAACTAATCCCGTTCCCATGTTTCTTTCCCTTTCCTGCACAGTGTGTTCCGACACTTAATCCAGGTGGATCTGGACATCTTCTGGTTTACTCTAAATGAGCTGCACTGCCCGTCCTCTTACATCCCACACCACCCCGACCTCCTGCCGGTGCAGCTGAACGGCACGGGCAGGCCGAGAGACGAGTTCTCGGACAACGTGTTCAAACTGCTCAAGGAGGAGTTTGGCTCCGTTACTGAGACAGTTAACCAGCCAGTCAGCTAATGAGCTGCTGCTTGATGAAATTGACTCTTCTCACAAACGGACGACTTATTGAACCACGACTCCAACAGGTCAATTAGCTGAAAGAAATCTGTCAGCTGTGCCAAATAGCTGATCACCTAGCTCTGTGGAATTAAGAGCTACTCTGTAATTTACAAAATGTTACTTAGTCATCACCTTGATTCTGCTAGCCCACAATTAGTACTTACTGTACATTAACATTAGGTGAAAATGGAGCGCTACTGAGTTATGTTTGATTAAAAAGAGAAAACAAAACTACAGAATCGGATATTTTTGGCTCTTCCCTTATTTTCCCGAGGAGGGAATCACAGCAGATGGATCCAAACACATTTTTACATCAAATGACCTTCTTGATGTAATCCTCTCATTTATCCAGGCTTGGGACCAGCAGTAAGAGTATACTAGCTTTGGAAGCCCTGAGGGTGGGTGTCTCCTCCACCAAGGAGCCACTAAGAAACTACATGAAAATTGTATAAATATGGTTACAGCTGTTGATTTTTTTTCTAAAGTACAGGAGCCGGCATTGCCACATAAAAGATTTCATTTTTGCTTGATGCAATGATGATGATGATGCAATGTGCATAAAGTTAAAAGATTAAAGCTAATATAACAAATTTCATTTCATTCAATTTTATATGTGTGCATGAATTGACTTGTAAAGCCCTTTGGTCAACTGTGTTACCTTTAAACCTGCTATAGAAATTGCACTGGACAATGGAGAAAGGATAAATTGAACCCATTCATAACCATTCATGGCCAGCTTGATCCAAGCGGTCCTCGGTAGCCATGACAACAAAGACGTCCCAGAAATCCTGCTCGGCGCAAGCAAAAGGGTTTGTTGCACACCCCGCAACTAAATCTAATCATATAAGGGTGTTTACCCACTTTATGTCACTTCCACGATGTTATTTCTCTCTCCTACAGTTTACATAAACATGATGAATTATGCAAATTAGTCGATGATGTCATTTAGCCACTTGTAATGACTTTTAGGAAAGTCAGTAGCGATTTTCCTTAATGAGGAATTGGTAACACTGTTTGAAGCAGACACACATTGCCAGGGTTGTGGTTGGCACGGCTGACTGGGTAACGCCTTGTGAGCAGCTTGTGACAATGGCAGGTGGCGGGGATGCACTTTAACTAGAACAGAACTGCCTGTGTTCTTCTGGCGGCTGTGTGGTGCACAGCGTTAAGAGGCCAGCGGATGAATTCCAGAGTTAAACGACGCAGGATCGAGTCTTCATAAGAGGCACTTAAAGTCCTTTAATTTTCTCAAAAATCGACAATGCGTTTTATAATCTGGTGCGCCTTATGTATGAATTCTTGTTGTGCTTACTGACCTCGAACCGATTTTATGTAATACACGGCACTCAAAAATCTGTCAAATCAGTCACGCAGTAGAACATGAGAATAGTAATGATAATGAGCCCAACACTAAAATGTTCTGTAATCACTGCACATCTTGCACTTATGTCTGTCTGTGTCTGTGCCAAATCCTCCACAAGCACTCTTAGAGAGAAACAAAACATTAGCAGTGAAGCGTCCTGGACGTCAGGCCTGGACTAACAGATTCCAGAGGTGCTGCTAAGAAAGGAGTGATACGGATTTTAACACAGAATGTATTTCACATTGCACACACATTTTTCCCACTGTAACATTTTCCAACAATACAGTGTGATACTATAACCAACAAGCAGCCAGTGAAACAGTTTCCTTCACACAAAAATCACAGAAAAGTGGCAGTTAAAGGGTTAAGTCTGCAGGGCCCACACACACTCATCCACCCACAGCAATATGACGTCATTACAAAAATAAAAACAGTTCACTATGATTTAGGAATAGACTCAATCGCTACAATCCTTTTAGACACTTACCATCTAATATGGTCAGCATCCTAGGCAGGTGAATTTCCTCTGAAGCCCATTGTAATCTGGAGAAGCTCGCAGTATATTTGCTCTCAATGACAGATTTTATGGTGCTTTTAATTCCCATCTTGCAGGCCTGCTTAAAAGAGAGCTGACTATTAAATCATCAACACACAAAACACCATCACCAGAGGGCTGACACCTGACAGGTTTTCTCTAAGTGCACAGTTACACAAATATTAGGCCCAATTCCAGACATGTCTACGTATAGAAAAACTCTTTCTCTCTTAGAAAGGGAAAAACAACCCAAACCTACCTATCAGAATCAATCTATCACTAAAACAAAAACCTCAAATCTGCCAGATTAATCACAGAAAAGTTTTTGCTTCCTAGTACAACAATATGTTTGTACTAGGAAG